TTGCGCGCCTCCTCCGTTGCTACCGCTTGCTGGGCCAGGTTCATGAGCTCGCGGATCATGCAGGCTATGAGTACCGTGCGAAGAGGGGATTTGAGCTGCTCCGGCTCCAGTGACTTCTTGGCCTTCCAATCGCGAGAGATGCGCATGAGCGTGCCCAGCGTGCCGTTGGCGTCGTTGCGCAAAAACAACACGAAGTTCTTGTCGTTGCGCAAGCGGCTGATGATGTCCTCCTGCTGCAGGACGACGCGGCCGAGCAGGTTGATGTGATTCTGAAGTGGATGCATCGGCCGTGATGGGGGCGGGCCTCCGCGGTGATGCGGCTGGCTCGGCCGCTGTGCTGGCGGCATGCTCCAGCGGTGCTGCTCCGGCCTCTGGCGCTTCTGAGAGCGGCCGTCCTCCAGGTAGGGCTCTGGCCCGGTCCAAAGGTTGGCAAAGATCTCGGCTTCCTCGTGGGCAAAGGCGTCCATCGTCAGTGGATCCCCGTACATCCTGACAGTGAAGCACGGCCAGAATGAGCTGCACTAGGGGAGTACACTGTTGCGTGTGGCGTTTTGGGGCGCCGACGCGATGGCCGCACCAAATGCACGAGCTGTCCCGGCGTAGATGACTTTTGAAGGAGGTACAGAGGTCCAGGGCCCGGGGAAGTATAGGGTAGGGTTGTTCGGGCCGTGTATGCGATTGTAGTGTTGCTTCATGTGACGATAGTCAGCAACCCACATGTGGCATATTGCACAGTAGTTCTTGAGCTCCTGGCGTAGCTCAGGCACAGACAACCACTTTTCCCAGTTTCCCAAGCTTGCAAGAAAAGCTTGACGCTTGATCAGAGGCAGGTGCATGACATTTTCTTCCGCAAAGACTGCAAGCCCCGCGGTGGGAGGTGGTTTGATCGGCGCAGGTACATGCGCCTCCGAAGGTGGCGCGCGAATCATGCTGTCTCCTCCCAGGGCGGCACAGGCTCCAGTTTCAATGTGGAGCTTAAGGTGTGACCGCCTGAAGAATTGGCGCTGGCAGAGGCGGCAGGCCGGCATGCCTGCTGTGGAGTGGAGCTCGGGCACGAATTCTGTAGGGTGGTGATTAAGCCTGGGGGGGAGCTGACCATGCTTGAGCTTACAATGTATCCGAACTGCATTCTCAGAAATGAACAGCTCAGAACAGTGAGGGCAACTGATGGACGGTGCGCTCACCGCCTCGGTGGCGAGAGTCTGGGCAGCTTCAAGGAGCAGCGCCTCGAGACGGCCGGCTAGGACGTCAACATGTGCAAGAGCTTGGGGAGTGCTGGTAATGTCGGTCCTTGACGCGGCTGTGTGCTGCAATTTGGCTTGATGCTGTAGCAAAGCACACTGGACGGTCCAGCCTGGCATCGGCTGGCCAGCTTGATGCCACACGGCTTGATTGGTAATGTGCGTCAAGTGAGCCGGCACCCGGAGGATGGCACGAAGATGCCTGGTAAGCACCGTAGTTAAGCGCTTGAGGGTTTTAGCGGTCACGCCGACTACATGCTGGGAGTACATAACGCTGGAGCAGACACATGCTTTCCACAGTCGGATGCGATGATCCGTGTCTAGGGCATGAGCCCCGTTCAGCAGCTTGCGGAGGCCCTGGTAGTTGGCTCGGGCGGCCTTGATGCGGTGCTCCATGTTGCGGTCAAGTCGACTATGATAGGTCACTATGGTGCCTAAGTAGACGTGCTGGTCCCGAATGGGAATGGTTTGTTCACGACCGTGCACCCAGAGACGCAAGTGAAGCTGCCCCGCCTTCATGAAGGTGTGGTTCCGTCGGAGTTTCTTGGACTCCTTGCCAACCAGGTGAAGAAGGATGGCTGTCTTATCAAAGTTGACGATCATGTGAAGGGATTCGAGAGTTTCAAGGATGAGAGTGATGTCAGCAAGGGCTTGTTGGAAGTCAGCCGCCGAGGCAATAACCCAAGCTCCCCAAGCATCATCAGCGAAGAGTGACAACACCCGCTGAATCCAAGACAAATCCCTCTGATCGCGCAAAAGAAGAAGAAAAGCAAGGGAGAAGAAATTCCAGAGATAAGGCGCTATCACACAGCCCTGCTTGATTCCATTGGTAGTGAGGGTAGAACCCTGACTGTCACCAACCCGGTAGATGTACCGGGCTCGATGATGCAATTGCTGAACAATTGTGATAACGGATGAGTCGACGCCCTGTTTCTTCATTTCCTGGTAAATGTGAGAACGTGTGACCCCGTCGAAGGCCTTGGACAAATCCAAGGAGAGGCTGATGCCTCCGGCGCAGCCGCGCGTCTTCTGGCCAGCCTGCTGCTGAAAGCGAGTGGCACGGGTACGGTTGACAAGCTCAGTGACCTCTTCAAAGTGTTGATGAGCCTTGGCTATAGCATCCGCAGTGCCCCTGCTACTGGTGTAGGCAAACTGAGGCATACAGGATAGCCAGGGGGCAAGTGCGCCTAGCAGTTGTGTGCGGAGACTGCCAGCCAGGGCTTTGCTTGCCGGACTAGATAACCCTATGGGTCGCAGGGATGAGATGCCTTGTGGGGGTTTATTGGGCTTGGGAATCCAGACCACGCTGCAGTCCTTCCAGTCTGTGTCCAGGGGGGCACTGGTGCCCCGGCGAAGATGCCGAGACAAGGCATGACTCAGGACCTCACCCAGGTCAGAAGAGCAGAGCTTCCAGACTGCGGAAGGGGCAATGTGCTTGGGAACAGCCTTGGCAAGCCCAAGTTTGGACAGTTCAGCTGCCAGGTCAGCGGCAGGTATGACTACATCCTGGGCGAGGGGGAGTATCGGGTGATCATCATGGTGCTTGGCAAAGGTGGCATTACCATATTGGATGATGGCTTCTAACTCCTCGTCGCGGGTGAGGAGTCGACCGGAGTCGTCCCGGAGCCTTCCTGCCAGTTGGCGGGTGCGCGGAGACAGCCTACGAACAATGAGGTGTAGGCCTCTTTGATCCCCTCGGCTAGCCGCAAGTTCGGCATCTTCAACCTGCCCCTGAAAGAATTGCTTCTTAAGCTGCTGACTGCTTTGGCGGAGGGCTTTTGAGGCTCTGGCGAATTGAGTTGCAAGTCGCCACTTGGCGAAGATGTTGCGGAAGGTGCACACACCTGAGCGCTTGAAGGCGTGGTAAAGGCCCCACACAGCCCGGGCAGTGACACGAAATGCAGGTTGAGCACTGACGCGGTGGTCTGGAGCAGGCTGAGCCGGAAACAGCGTGCAGGTCTCCTCTAGAAGGATGCGATTGACATGCTGATGTGCGGTTGAAAGCACGGACGCATCGACGTCCTGTAGCCGAAGGCTGACGCGGTGCTGCAGCTCCTGAGCCAGCGGGGCTCCGGAGCGCACTGCAGAGCACAGGGCTTGCGCATTGTAAGCAGGCGTTTGTGCTGGGCGGGTGCGTCTCCAGGAGAAGGGCCGAATGGGATAGGAAACCCTTATAGGGAAGTGACCGTTAAGTCTATCACTACCTACAGGAAAAGCATGATCAGGGTAGGCAGTACGGGCGCGATGGCCCGTGTCAGTGCAGCGCGACAGCACATAGTCAATCTGGGT